GAAGGCACACGCACGGTGGTACGTGTGTTGCGAAGACCTCCTCGAGCGAACTGTGCGATGGGTATTTATCCCCAAATCTGCACATTGCTTTCTCGCGCTTGCATATTACCATATATGGCCCAATGGTCACCAAGTGGGGGGTCTGTGTCCCAGGGGTTGGGCTGAAACTGTGCAGGTTTCATGCGACTAGGTAAGCCCCGCAGTTCTCACGCCAAGGTGACGGGTGGGAGAGTCTGAGGCTATTTTCCCCTTTTCACACCCTCCCTTTTTCTAAAGGCAATGGTATGCAGGAAGGGTGCGGCCGGTTTCTCCCAAGGAGTACTGCAGCCCACTATAGCAAAAGCGGCCTGGCCAAACTTTTTACTGGGGGGGGCAGTTTTTTCTCTAACACCTACATTATCCTTAACCTCCACTCCATCATCAGTGATTAGCGGTCCCACTTCTTTTTTGTTTTTTTCCTATTTATATGGCTATAAAACCTTTTACTATTGGTTTTAATTCCCTTTGCAAGGTCCAACTCTACCTGACTTTTAGCCTTTCTCACTTTATCCCTACATGCTTTAACCTCAATAAGGTAGCTCATCATTTAGCCCAATATGTCTTATGCTATTATCTTGGAACGAATTGCTCTGATTATATAAATTTTAAGTAGATACACAATCTTTTGCATGCAGACAAGTGAAGCAGTAACTCAGATCTAGTGGGTTTCTACTACAGAACAAAAAAATAAAATTATAAATAATAATAATAATTAAGCATTAATAAAATCTTGCACTTCTATAAGGCCATATTTTCAACAGCGCTGATTTTCCATTTAACATAAATTTGTGTGCAGGACCTATTTGCAAATCTGGCCAAGAGTGTGCTTCTTTTGAGGTCAGTACAAACAATGGGCCAAATTCTCAGATGAGGTAAATCAGCATAGTTCAATGTGCATCAATGAGGCTATATCTAGACTGCAGGCTTCTTTAGGAAAAAGCTTCTCTGGAAGAGGTGTTCCAGAATAACTTCTTTCAAAAGAGAGCGTCCACACTGCAAAAGTACATCAAAAAAGTGATCTGTTTTTTTAAAGACAGCATCCTCACTGACTGGACACTATCTCGCATTTAAGCTGTGATTACTAAGGAAGAAGTAGCCACTACTTGTGCTTTTTTTTAACCTGTGATTTTTCCTGGAGGCCTCTTCTTTCCAAAATAAAAAAAACCTCTTCCCCGTCCACACACACGTTTTTCTGAAAGAGTTCTTTCAGAAAAAGACTTCATTCTTGTGGAACAAGGTTTACTGCTGTCAGAAAAATCCCTGAGTTCTTTCAATTTTCTGTCGAAAGAACGCAATTGCAGTGTAGACATAAGTGTAGTTTTCCTGGAAAAACTCTGCAGTGTAGATATATTCTGAGAATCTCACCCATTATTTATATACTCTTCAGATCACTACTATGAGATAGTAAGTATTGTCATAGAGAGGAAAACTGAAGAACTTTGAGATTAAGGGTGAAATTACTCCTAGTACAGTCAGAACAATGCCTGTGAATCACTTAAGTCCTGGTTTTAGAGGGACTTAAGTGCTGCAAAGGCCCCATATTGCTCTCAGCACAGGGTAAGTTTCAAACCCTAAAAGACTTGCCTTAAATCACAGAACAGGACAGTGACCTTCTGGTAAAATGTCCAGATTGCCTGAATTACAGTTCCTCTTCTCCAGAACAAATGGCTTGAAATAAGTTTTTGCTTCTTGTAACTGTAGCTGCTCCTGAAGTTATGTGAAAAATTATCCTCATCCAACAAAATTGGCAGTACTGTAGTTGCTCTTTTGACTGGTTTGGTGCCTGAAACGGATTAACCATAATTGCTAAAAGTACAAAGCTGTTTTAATCAAGAAGAAGGAAATGAGTCTCCTTTACCCTAAAACATAGCAAACTGATATCAAGGCCTGAGTACCACTGAGGCTTTGATGGGGAGAACAGTGAAGCAAACTTTGGGAGGAAAAACCTGAAAAGAATTATTAAACCGCAAAAAAATAAGAAAAATATCCTCACCTCCTTCACAATTATGTGACTGTTAATTAACTGTTCTGTGTTTTATAATTGACAAACCATGGAAACCATCATTAGAATGAATCAAAATAGCCCATAATTTGCTACTTTATGTAGAGTCAAATGGAACATATTTGTAAAATTCTGCTACAAAAAAAATTCCCCACTCATTAATCCTTTCCCGAGCTGCTACATGGTTTGTCTGGCCTGAGAGTTATACAGGTATTGGACCAAAATCTGCCTAAGAGCTTAATTAAAATTACATAGACAGAGCTTGATCCAAAACCCACAGAAGTCAAACCAGAGACCCACTGGCTTCCCTAAGGATATAAACAAATAAATAACAACAATGATAAATTTGTAAAGCAACGGTGCCTAGGAGTCCTAGTCATGGATCAGGCCCCCTTGTGCTACTTCAGGACAAAAAGATAGCCCTTGGCCAAAAGAGCTTACTAAGTCAATCTGCTGCCATCAGCAGAGAAGGCACATTACAATAACTTGACTTTACCTGGAAAGAATAATTTGGACAAGTCCTTACGTATCTTCTAAATTATTCATGAAGTGACAAAGAGGGAAAATATATGAATAAAAGAGAAAGAGGGAAAATATATGAATGAGAGAGAGAGAGAGAGAGAGAGAGAGAGAGAGAGAGAGAGAGAGAGATTTTGCTGATCAGAGACATTTGGTTTTACAATGCTCTGTGATTTCCACTAAATATTTTTGTACATTGTTTTTACAAAATTCATCTGTTCATGATGGTGTAAACTCAAGCAAATATAAATATGACCTTTTACTTCCAAGGCGTGAGTGCCAGTGATTCAGTTTTGTCATACTCTTAATATAGCTCATAGATAATTATGTACCATATTTGTAAGGAATCCAGTCCATAAATCTTTACATGCAGCACTTCAACCAACTTTAAAACAATGAGCAGCTGGATAGAATTGTAATGATAAAATGAGGAAGAATAAAAATCGAAACCTTATACTTACCTAGTAAATTTTCTCCATTTATATTTATGTTCTCTTCTATATTTATTATGATATCATATATCAAGTGATTTTCCTTTTTACTTAGCTCAGTTTTGTCTGGACGCAGTTGACACCATCATCAACAGACATGGTAAATCTGGAGGCGCTGTAACTGAGGCAGAAATACAAGGAGACCATTAATGATTTTCTTAAACTGTTTTAAAAAGCAAAGTAGTTTTACTGATTCCACTGGTCCATTGGGCTACATCTACACTGCACATTTATTTTGAAATAAGCTATTTCAGAAGGTATCTTCCAAAATAGCATACAGGCAGTCCCCGGGTTACATGGATCTGACTTACATCGGATACCTACTTACAAATGGGGTGAGGCAACCCCGCACTAGCTGCTTCCCCCCAGCAGACCAGGGAGACGCGAAGCTAGCGCCCCCCCCCTCCCCCCAGCAGACCAGGGAGACGCGAAGCTAGCGCCCCCCCCCTCCCCCCAGCAGACCAGGGAGACGCGAAGCTAGCGCCCCCCCCCTCCCCCCAGCAGACCAGGGAGACGCGAAGCTAGCGCCCCCCCCCTCCCCCCAGCAGACCAGGGAGACGCGAAGCTAGCGCCCCCCCCCTCCCCCCAGCAGACCAGGGAGACGCGAAGCTAGCGCCCCCCCCCTCCCCCCAGCAGACCAGGGAGACGCGAAGCTAGCGCCCCCCCCCTCCCCCCAGCAGACCAGGGAGACGCGAAGCTAGCGCCCCCCCCCTCCCCCCAGCAGACCAGGGAGACGCGAAGCTAGCGCCCCCCCCCTCCCCCCAGCAGACCAGGGAGACGCGAAGCTAGCGCCCCCCCCCTCCCCCCAGCAGACCAGGGAGACGCGAAGCTAGCGCCCCCCCCCTCCCCCCAGCAGACCAGGGAGACGCGAAGCTAGCGCCCCCCCCCTCAGACCAGGGAGACGTGGAGCAGCTTTTCTCAGCAGACACCTCAGCTTGAGAATAAAGGACTGAGGGAAGTGAGGTGTGGGAGAATAAAACTGAGCTCTGGAGAAATGTTTGGCTACAGTTTCCCCTACAATATGTACCAGTTTCAACTTATATACAAATTCAACTTAAGAACAAACCTACAGTCCCTATTTTGTACGTAACCCGGGGACTGCCTGTATTTTGAAATAACGCATCTACACAACAAATGCACATCGAAATACCACTTAGCTATTTTGAAATCGAGTGTCCACACTGATTGGATGCTAACTCACATTTAAGGCCACCCAGAATCACTTCCAGCAGGGCATCAGGACAGCAGTTATTTCATGTGGCTGCCGCCTGAGGCTAGCTGAGGCTCTTGCTTAAAGGCACCCCCCTGTACAGCAGTGTCATAGGCTTTTTTCCATTGCCTACCTCCTTGAGGGACACCTCAGTTGCCAGATATGGAGCCGAAGCCACCTATGGGCACTCTATGGCTACTGCAGCTTGTGTGGCACCTCATGCAGCAGTTTCTGCAGGCGCATCTACACAACAAATGCACATCGAAATACCACTTAGCTATTTTGAAATCGAGTGTCCACACTGATTGGATGCTAACTCACATTTAAGGCCACCCAGAATCACTTCCAGCAGGGCATCAGGACAGCAGTTATTTCATGTGGCTGCCGCCTGAGGCTAGCTGAGGCTCTTGCTTAAAGGCACCCCCCTGTACAGCAGTGTCATAGGCTTTTTTCCATTGCCTACCTCCTTGAGGGACACCTCAGTTGCCAGATATGGAGCCGAAGCCACCTATGGGCACTCTATGGCTACTGCAGCTTGTGTGGCACCTCATGCAGCAGTTTCTGCAGGCCTCAGCCCAGGCTCTGCAGGAACCCAACCCTCAGCTCCTTTGAGGGGCCCTCCTCAGATCTCTGTGGGCGCAGTTCATGCAGCTGGATCCCACCCGCTCTCCTCTTCACAACGTTCCCAGCAACCTCTGGACACCAGTGCAGACAGGTGGAACCGGATTATCATGGAGCAATGGGGAAACCAACAGCGGCTCTAGAATTTCAGGATGAGGAAAGACACGTTCCTGGAGCTCTGTGAGTGGCTCGCCCCTGCCCTCAGGCAACAGGACACTCAAATGAGACCCGCCATCCCCCTCCAGAAGCGTGTCGCCATCGCCCTCCAGAAGCTTGCCACGCAGGATAGCTACCGATCCACCGGGAACTAGTTCGGCATGGGGAGATCAACTGTCGGGGCTGTGCTCATGCGGGTATGGCATTCTCACGTGATTGTCCCAGAATGGGGGTGTACTGCTGGAATGGAGTTCCCTAGGAAAAGCAGGGGTTAGGGGGTGTTGATGTGGAGGGTACAAGCCCCCTCCTGGAAGGTTTTTCAGTCCCGCCCTCACAAAGCTGTGTCAGGGGATAGGGTAAGTATGGGGGAGGTTGCTTCTGGTGTGTGTGGGAGAGGACCAGGGAGTAGGGGATGGGCTGGGGAACCTCCCAAGGGTCCTGGCACCTCTTTGGATCTGTTTGCTTGTCTCTTTCGTCAAGTGGTGTGGGCCATCAACACCATCTTGTGCAGGGTCATTCACCTCAGCGATATGGACACCATTGTCACCAGCTTTGCCAAAATGGGCTTCCCCAACTTCAGGAGGGGCCACTGATGGAACCCACATCCCCATCCAGGCCTCTACATCAACCAAAAAGGATACTTTTTGATGGTCCTGCAGGTCATCATGGATCAAAGGGGTCAGTTTACGGACATCTACATTGGATGGTCAGGGAAGGTGCATGACACCCACAGTTTCTGCAACTCCGGCATCTTCGAGAAGCTGCACACCCCTTTTCCCTCCCACCACACTATCAAGGATGGGGACATGTACATGCCCATCCACATGGTGTGGGATGCAGCCTACCCTCTCTTGCCCTGGCTCATGAAGCCCTACACCGGCCACCTCAATCACTCTTGAGAATAGTTCAATGCCAGGCTCAGCAGGGCCCGCATGGTGGTGGAGGATGCCTTCAGGCGTTTGAAGGCACGGTTCAGATGCCTCCTCACCCAGCTGGACCTCAGGAAGTGCAACATCCCTCACACGATGGTCACATGTTGTGTGCTCCACAATATTCATGAACAGAAGAGGCAGGCATTCCTGGCCAGGGAGGTTGACCACATTGGCAGGGCCTTTGAGCAGCCATGCACTGCTGCCATCTGGCAGGCCAATCAAGGGGCCATGCACATCCAGGAGGCCCTGATGGAGAGTTTCTTGCAAGGGTCCCAGTGACACTCTCCCCTGGGCCTCCACACTAGGGACCTGTGCATTGCCCCTCTCTGCTTTTCCTCTCAAGCCCCTCCCTTCCCTGCCGAGGGTACTGGCGAAAGAACTGGGAGATGGGAAGAGAGAGCAGGGAGGAAGGGGGATGAGAACCGTGGAGGAGGGAGCTGGAAGGGGGAGGAGGAGTGAGGAGAGGCTTAGGGATGGGGCTGGGAGTGGTACCTGGCTGTGGTGACCCCACTACCATGGATGTGGGGGCCACAGCAGCCATGAGGGTGGTATTGAGGGAGAAGCAGGAAGAACAGGAGCAGGAACGAGAGTGGGAGTAGGAGCTACAGTGAGAGCAGGAGTGCGAGCAGAAGCAGGAGCAGGCATCATGCTGGCAATGAAGGACTGCATGGCCACACTCATGGTGCGGCCCTGCTCCAGCAACTCCTGCCACATGTCTCGCCCCAGCTGGATGTCTTCCTGGAGCCTGTGGTTGATGGTCTGCTCCAAGGCTCAGAGTACTGCGAGGTACTCCCTCTGCAACTCGCCCATGGGTCTCTCCGGTGCCTGCGGGTCCCTTGGGTTCAGGAGGCTGTCCCGGGTGGTGTCAACTTCCCCCCTCTCGCAGCTGATCCGGCAGTGGAGAATAAAGAGAGAGGTCAGTCATCCCAGGGGACACTGTGACTGAAGCCTTGCCCTCATCTGTGAGCCAAGAGTAACAGTTCTCAGCTCAGTTGAGGGTGATATGCTTGGAGCAAGGCCATGTGTGCTCTAGCCAGTGTGAGCCCTTTCCTAAAGAGGCCCAGATGTCCCCGGGAGGGTGGGATCCTCACCATCCCTACTTCCCAGGGACAAGCAGGCATGTGAAGGTGCCGGCCAGACTGGGATACTGTGGAAGGGAGAGGGGCTTCGGGGTGGCTGGGCTTTTCTTTATGCCACGCTCAAGCTGGGCCCAGCAGAGGTGGCGTCTCGCAGGGAGAGGACTGGTATCCCTACCTGCTTGAGGAGAGGGGGACAGGTGTTATCTGCTTAAACGAAGTATACGAGATCTTCTATAGGGGAAAAGGCAGTACGCTGCATTTATTGAGAATACAACAGTTGCATATGCTTTTCAATCACTCATACACACAAACAACATACACACAAAGTTTCACCAGACGATGTCATAGTTACCAGTCCAGAGTCTGTATCAATCTAGTGGCCAGCTAGATTGAACACAGGGGGGAGCAGGGACTTTATCTTAACACATTCATTCCCCTTTCACACACACATAAGCTATGTTACAAGGGCTTTCAAGGCTATCAACACCTGTATTGGTAAGACAAAGAGGCGTTGTAAATCAAGCAATTAAGGCCTCAGCCTTTAACAATCTTATAATCTTCATTAACACAGACACAATACGAGATCCTGTCTCTTTATTTACTAAAACTTTAGAACAAGGAAATATAGGAGATATATAATTTACTAAAGGATTTGACTTACTACAATCTTAAATATGATTATATATTACCTTACATTGCTACATTACTAAACCTAAGATAAGAAATATAATAAGAATAAAACTTTCAGATCCAACACAGGGTGCAGGGGGAAGGTGTGTGTAAGTGGCAGGTGCTCCTGCACCTCGCTGCACTGTCCCCAGGAGTGGATGCTGTCCTGAAACTGCGAGCATGCCTGTGTGCCAGACTGCTCAGTGCATGTATGTGTGTGTCTCCATGTTCCCAGCCTCCTTCTAGAGGTGGCTTTGGAGGGAGGGTGTCCCACCGGGTGTCCCACCCCGGGGTCATGAGTATGGCAGGCCTCTCCAGACATCTTGTGGCCAACAGCACTAGGGTCCTCTGTGGCAGCCTCCTGGTGCTGTGTGGCCAGGAGTGGTTTGGCAAATGCTCCCACAATCACAGGCTGCTGTGTGATCCCCAGGTGGAGGGAGGGTGTCCCACCGGGTGTCCCACCCCGGGGTCATGAGTATGGCAGGCCTCTCCAGACATCTTGTGGCCAACAGCACTAGGGTCCTCTGTGGCAGCCTCCTGGTGCTGTGTGGCCAGGAGTGGTTTGGCAAATGCTCCCACAATCACAGGCTGCTGTGTGATCCCCAGGCCACAAGGGCCAAGCCAGGAGCGTCCAGCTACCCCTCGCCATCCACCTCCTCCCTGTGTGAAGAGAACATGATGGCATTCCTTCCCCAGCCTCCGACGACGCCTGGGACACATGCACAGGGAAGGGTACCGGCTCCAGGGTCAGGAATTGCTGGTGCTGGCCTCGTCCAGCTCCTCCTGTTCCTCCACTTCCTCCTCCTCATCTCTGTCCCCTGGGAGGGTGATGACGGATGTCTCGAGCCCCAAGTCCACTCCCAGGCAGGGTGAAGGGACTGTCCCACCCCCCAGGAGGCGGTCCGGGTCCTTGAAGTAGGGGGAAGTGTGGGGTTCTGCCCCAGAGCAGAAGCTGGCTTCCCTGGTCCTGGCATATGCCTGGCAGAGCACTTTCACTTTCATCTGCACCTGATCCTGAGTGCAGATGTGCCCCTTGTTGGCCAGGCTCTCGGCCATCCAGACCACATTCCTGCATGTGGTGCAGAGATCCTGGAGGTTGATCTCATCACCCCAAACCTCAATAGGGTCCAGGATCTCCGCACCAGACCAGGAAGGTGCACGCCTTTTTTGGGTCCGGGCAGGCTCCTGGGATCTGTCTGATTGTTCCCTGGGAGCAGTGGAGGGATGGCTGGAAGCAGCAGACTGGCTCATTTTTTTAAAAAGAGAGGCAGTAGCAGCTGCTGTCAGAGCCTCCTGTCTGCCACCAGCCCTTTCCCCCAAGGCTGGAGCTTTAAGGGCTCCAGGGAAAGGGGGAGAATACAGAGCTTTCCTAAGTGTAGACAGAGCGGCCAGCAGGGCACCTTGGGAAGGGCTGGAAACCCCTTATTCCACGTAGAATGAGGTTTCCAGATTTTGGAATAAGATGCCCATTATTTTGAAATAATTTGGAAATATCACAATTGCTGTGTAGACACTCGCATAGTTATTTCGGAATAACAGCCGTTATTCTGAAATAACTGTACTGTGTAGACATACCCTTGGTGGCACATATTTCATACATTTTTAAGACCAGAAGGGGCCATTAGGTAATCTATTCTGGACTCCTATACAACATAGGCCATGGAATTTAATCCAGTTACCCCAGCACTGAGCCCAGTAATTTGTCTTTGGCTAAAAAAATCCCCTTTAGGAATGAAATCCAGTTGTCATTTCAAGACCACATGTGATAGAGAATCCAATATTTCACTTTCTGGTTTGTTACAATGGTTAATTGCCTTCTCTGATAAAAAAAAAATGTGCATTATTTCTAATTTGAATTTGTCTGGCTCCAATTTCCAGCCATTTGCTCTTGTTACACCTGTGATGTTGGCAGACCTGATGCCAGCTTATGTCCAGACTTCAGGCCTCACCGAACACTGACAGATGCACAGTTGGAAACCAGTCTGACTTACTGTGTGTTAGTGTTGTTAAAACAGATGTTAGGTTATAAA